TGTATCACTTTCTGAGTCAAAATTATGCAAATCAAGAATATGCATTTAGGACACAAGGCTACCGTAACCTCAATGCATACATATAATTATTTATACATATGAATTGGCATTCCTCGATGTCCTAGTAACAAGATCATTGTTCGGACCGCTAGAATCATCTGTATACAGAAAGAAAACCCACACGGATCAAATCCGGGGATACACCATTTCAGTTCAGTTTGAACAACCATTAACCATGCACTTTTGTGTGCCGGTTTTAGTTGCCCATTTGGATGAAAATGAGGAGAAGGACACGAAAGGTTGAAAGTAGGATCGAAGAGAAAATTTAGGATTTCATTGCACTAATTTTGCAGAGAAATCGACAAGATGCACGAGCGCCACTGTTTACGACCCCCAACCATATCACTCAGTGTCTCTAACCATCGGGTATGATCATCCCGAGGTCCCCATCTAGGGAGCCTAACGAGACCTATGTGACCCAGACTCCTGGTTAGGGTTTTCATACCCTCATTCCAGGTCTTAGCTTGACCATCCTTGACTTTCTTCCACCCACTACCTGCCTCGGCGAACGTCGCTCGCAGTGGCAACCTATCTGAGGACATGCGTAACACATGCCCCAACCAACGTAGTCTATGGAGGTAGACCACTCGCTCCAGTGGGTGACCGCGATTGCCTAAAACTCAGCACCTAACCTCNAGTAGGATCGAAGAGAAAATTTAGGATTTCATTGCACTAATTTTGCAGAGAAATCGACAAGATGCACGAGCGCCACTGTTTACGACCCCCAACCATATCACTCAGTGTCTCTAACCATCGGGTATGATCATCCCGAGGTCCCCATCTAGGGAGCCTAACGAGACCTATGTGACCCAGACTCCTGGTTAGGGTTTTCATACCCTCATTCCAGGTCTTAGCTTGACCATCCTTGACTTTCTTCCACCCACTACCTGCCTCGGCGAACGTCGCTCGCAGTGGCAACCTATCTGAGGACATGCGTAACACATGCCCCAACCAACGTAGTCTATGGAGGTAGACCACTCGCTCCAGTGGGTGACCGCGATTGCCTAAAACTCAGCACCTAACCTCAGCATTGTTCGTCCGGCTGCCCCACCACATTCGTGCAATGCTGCCTAGACAGCGATGTTTGAACACCGACAGTCTACCTTTATCCTGTTTCTTTAATGGCCAAGTTTCTGGGCCGTATAGCAGAACTGGTCGAACTGCCGCAGCATACACTCGACCCTTCACAGACAGCCGAATGTTGCGACAGCGTCACAGACGTCTCAAGTTGGCAAATGCCGACCGAGCCTTCTGTATGCCAGCGGACACTTCATCCGTGATGCGTCCATCGGGTGAGATGTAGCTGCCCAGTTAGCAAAATTTGTCTAATTGCTCTATTACTTCTCCAGTTAGAGTGAGGCTCAGTGCTGGACCGACCCAGTCTTGTAGTAACATTTTGCACCTTGAAGGTGCAAAATACAATCGGCACACGGCTACACTGGCATTTAAGCTGTAAAAAAAACCTGCAACTGACCTACATCAGGAATCACCCAATATGGCGCGAGAAGAGTTGCATTCGGACACTGCTCGGAAGGGCAAAAACACACTGCAGCAGTGAAAAGTTGAGGCAGCAAAAGGAGAAATACTTCTATGCAGTATACATCCGCAACGTTTACACCCGCAACTTCGTCAAACGGACAATAACTCGAACACAACAACACACAAGGACAAACGGACAACCGAATAAGCGAATAACCCTACGGTATGTGAAGAACATTTTGGGAATGACCACGAGGATACTGAAACCATACAACATTCAAGTAGCCCCGAAACCAAGGAGGACCCTACGGAGAATCTTATCGAAAACCAAGAAGCAACAGAAAGACAAAAACTGAACAAATCTACCGCGTCAACTGTAAGGACTGCAACAAGTACTCTATCGGTTAAACAGGACGAAAACTAGCAACTCGCCTGCACGAACACAAAATGGCTGTCAGAAGACACGATGAGCTGTCACTCATCTCAATCCACGAGGACCGAGAAGAACACAACTTCAATTTCGAAAACATCAAAGTCTTCAATCAGGCCTGCGCCAAGCACGCAAGAGAATTTCCGGAAGCTTGGCATTCTACGAAAAACTCGGTCAACCGACACATTGACATTGATCAAGTCTATACCCCCATGCAACCAAAAGACTAATCAATGCAAAGAAGGTGGTTCGTGTCACACGTGGCAACAGTGGCGCTTAGACTGATGGATCAACGGCCAGCCGTGATGCTGGTGGCCAGCTAAATTGTGCTTTGAAGTGCTCCACCTAGCGTGCAAGGCGTCGCAGTTGATTATGAATGGGCGAACCGTCCGCTTCGTAGATCATTTCGCTCACACCCAAGGCATCCTACCGGTGACCCGGATGAGATGGAACAGCTTACGGGAATGGGCCATGACGACAGCACGTTTCATTTATGACGCGCGTTGAGTCCACCAGATTTCGGGGTCTCTGCGTAGGCTTGCGTTGAAGTTAAGACTCGTTGTGTGTCATATTTCATTATGCTCGCTGCCGTTCGGGATTGACCGGCTCGAGTTGAGGAGTAGAAACTCTGCAGAAATACAGGGTGGCGCGGCACGTGTCAGACGACAACTAACTAAGCCAGCAGATCGCAGAGCATTCTTGATAAGCGACCAGTGCTGGTTAACGTCAAGGATGGGGTTGGTTCTAGCTTTTCACCTTGCGCATTCTGAAAGACGGTTAGGCGTGCTGGCTGAGACAACTTGTCACAGTCTAACCGTTGTTCTTTCGTGCGTTTGGAACGCCTACAGAAGCATATAGACAGCTTGGCGCAAACTAACGCGTGGTCGGAGTCGAGGGAAGTACTCCAGTACGATCAGCAGTCGTTTATGCAACCCCGTCATTTGTGGCTTACAGCGATGAGGTCAATCTGCATCTATCTGTAACTCGAGGAGAGCGGACTCCAGGTGGCGTGCCGGCAGTTGGAGCGTACGAAGTTCGTACTGGCGAACACTGGTCAGAACACAGAGCCAACTGTCGTTCCCCGTTTTCCGAGCGACAGAAATCTAGTCGAAGGAACCTCTCAGATGCGCCGCACTCGAAGTGAGTCGACTTACTCAAGCATTCATAACCCCTGCTAAAATCACGATATCAGCCTGACTTGCTTTACATAAGAGAGGTCATGTAGATTATGGTAAAATTCATCTTTGACTGCATCTGGGCTGCAGTCCGTCGGGGCGTACGCCGACACGACAAACAGGATTCATCTATCGGGGCTACGGTTGCTTACTGTGCACCCACCTCATTGCGCCCAACCTACTGTTGGATCTAGTCCAGGAGGGCGGTTGCAGCTCTCTCCCTGAGAGGTACGTCAACGCCATCAGGACCGGAAGGCGCAGCCGCAGGGTCCCCAGAGGGGTGTAAGTGAAAATTCACCGATTGGTTAGATGGGACGTCAATCGAATAATGGAGCTGGAGTCTTGAACGTGAGTGTCTTGGATACAACACACATCGATAACTAGGGTCTCGAGCGTACGAGCTAAACAGGCCTGTTGTCCTATACGCATCAGAGTGCGCCAGTTTGAATGGACATCGAGGGCGAAGAAGGGCTTCAGCTGGTGGAGGATTCGGTGAGACTTGGACAATAGTCGAGGTAGAACACAAGAGAACAGCGGCAGAGTTTCCATCGGAGGCGCTACTGTTAGCACCATCGTTTGAAGAATCCGAGAGAAGGGGGGAGGGCTGGGGAGATATGAGTGTGTGTATGGTGGAGAGTGTTCATCACTAGGTGCAGAAACTGAAGACACATAAGAGTCGAAGAGTTCATCGTTTTAGAGCTGTTGTACCTCAACGTATACAGGAGGACTAACTGCCCTAAGAATGAAGTCGTAATAAGTGACATTTTTCCACCACTAGTATAACAGTACTACAATATGCTAACATCTCAGTTGGAACCGATGAAATCTGGTCAGAAGTAGTAAAATGCAGCAGATTGTGAAAGTAAATCGAATAGTTTGCTGCTTCACATTCGACATGAGTATGACGTGTTTCATGTTTCATGGTTTCATGTGACCAAAACAACACTGAGGACGCATCGTAACCGTTTAAATGAGAACTGCGAGTAAATGTTAGTCCAAAAGCCTTACCGAAGTGTTCGGACCTGAAAACAGATTTCAAATCCACGTCAGAGGAACAAACGGCTATTGGTTGAAGAGACGGTAAAGAGGATCTCTTCGAAAACTTTTCGAAAAGGTGAAAACCATATTCCGAAACTGACTACTTTATTGGTTATCAGTAGGCAGCCGAGCGTAACATCTACCGTGATTACGAGTGTATGGCTGAGTTGCATGGAACATTTTCCTCATACACTGGAGACGTTCCCACCACTAAACATAATCCATTTTACAGAATAAGCGCAAACAGCTTCACTGGGAACTTAGCACCATCCGGAATGCAGGGACCAACTTTTCTTTTGCATCCATGAGGATGGTGGTGATGCAGTCGTTTAGTCGCTGCCACAGACGTGCTTTGCATCATATGGTTCCAGGTTCCAGTCCTTCTACCGTCACCCAACTTGGGTGGTAAGCAAGTTTTCTGTGGTCCGGGTCAGTACCACACCTAACCTAGCGAGGCCTTATGCGATTCGTCACTCCAAGTCCCAGGGCTTAGACTACCGACTTCTATGAGTGAATAGCAGGTCCTCGTGACTATGGGGCTGTCTCTGTTTGCTGTTCATCAGACCAAGGTGTGTAATAATAAAAAAGTCACATCAGTAAACATGGATGCGGTTTTTGTTTATTTTTCCACCTAAACAGACTAGGCCAAAAACGTCGAGACTAGAACCAACCAAGGCTCAGTGTGGTATTAATCAGAAACAGAAGAGTATAATAAGACGGAGTAAACACAACAATACCATCGTTTAAAGGACAGATTTACGGTCTGCCGTTCAGAATGGCTGCCATTAGACTGGAAATGATCGTAGAAGAGTAATTACCTGGACCAAACAAAGATCGTGCCAAGGATTGAAGGATTGTTTTAAGTTCGAATTCCAATCTTTTTGCGGTTTCATTTGTGTGTTGTGGCTGACGATCCGGTGGTAGCATGTACGAAGGAATGGCTTGCAACGGATAGTTGTACCGTTTTGCGTACGGAGACGAGGCCGGAATCTCTTCAAGCAGTTGCAAACAGCCACTGGGGTCGATGGCATCCCGGAACAGCTGATTCGAATGAATTGTTACAGTGGATAAGGTCCCGGCGAAATCACAGACAGATGAAATTGACAACATATAAAGATAAACTGGGCACAAACTGTGCGGATTTTCAACCTTGCTGGATTTTGTTAATAGAGAGAATCCATCGAACCAAATAAAATTCGGACCTGGAATCCCACAAAGAGAGCATAAGCATATTAGACACTTCGAATAGAAGGCAACGAATCAGGTTGTTCCCTTGGAAATTTATAACAAACACTTAAACTTGCAGTAGCCTCAGGTTGAGAACTCCCCATACTTGATGGTTATGTAGACGGTAGCATTAAAAGAGCTGGTCTGATGGTATAATGAAAATTATCGTAAGTAGAAGAAAGGAATCAAGAAAGGAGTGGCTATAGTTTAGGTGACAACAAGATTACACAATAACGTAAGGGAGTCCATCCAGTTTTTGGTCTGCACTGGATATTTAGCTTTCATCGGTCACAGAGAGAAACCGCTAGACAGTGAGCAACAGCTGGGAAGCTTTTTATGACACCCCCTTGTGAGGTGAACCACGCACTAGCTGAACCTCATAGTCACAAGGATTTAATATTCGCTCATGGAAATGAATAACCTACGTGTCGGGACATGGAGTGGTGAATCACTTAAGGCCTCGGTAAAGTTAGGAGCGGGGATGACCTTTTGGATCGCATTCTCGTGATTTTTCATTGAACATTCGAGGGATGGTTTAAAACATGTGCGGCAATGACCAAGTAGGTACGATGAACAACGCATTGGTCCGGAGGTCGTATCCGAATAACACTACCACAACCAATCTTTCCAACTTTCTGTAATCCCTATCCTCTAGTAACCTTGAATTGGTTGTAAGGGTTGTAAAGGGTGGTGGTGGCGCAGTGGTTTAGTCGCTACCACAGGCGTGCTTTGGGCCCTATGATCCGAGGTTCAAGCCCCGCCACCGGCACCCGACTTTGATGGTAGGCAGCTTTGCTATCGTCCAGTTTAATATCACGCCTAACCTAGAGGTGCCTTATGTGGTTCCCGAAGCTTAAGTCGCCAGTTTCCACCACTGAACGACAGGTCCTCATGACTATGGGGTTCGCCCAGTCTGCTGTTAATCACACTCAGGTGCGTAATAGGAAATCCCCTCTTACTGAAAACTGATTACACTAGATAGGGTATATTCGATAAATAAATAGAAATTAAAAACATCTTAATATTATCAACAAATAAGGTGAAGTCGAAAGTGGAATGTACAGACTTAAATTGGGTCCGGCCAGGGAAACACAGATGGATCACTGTAAGCACCGACCTCCAGCCAATAACCGGTATACATGGGAAGTTGTCATCGGAGGAAAAATCTAGGGAACCAACCCATTCTCTAGTGGAACGCAGTCGTGAAAAAGCAGCTTGTCAAGTACTTCCAAACTAATTCAATTCATATTTCTTCCGCTTAGTAAATGACGAGTCACACGATAGTTCAATCAAACACTGCTCTCATTCAAACGAAGACTTCTTCAGTTTTAAAGTGTTAGTGAGTATCAATTGTCCTCAGTTTGCTGCGCTCATTTTATTTAGTATCAGCAGTAGCTTTTTGCACCCAAATGGGCGAATGTTCTGCATTATGCATTCTATTTGTGAAGGCAAATTTACAAAATGAGGTAAAAGTAAATTAAATTCAGGAAATATCGGCTTCATCAATGAGGCAAGCAGCTGCGTAATTCGGTTCAAACTTTTTCCTTGTCAACAAGCAGACATGCGATATACGGTAAAACAGGGTAACAATAGAAAGAGGTACTAAAAAGTAAAAGTTTGAACTTTGAGCGTGTGGATGATGTGGACAGAGCTTGTGAAATTTCGTTGTTTAATAGATAATGAGTGTCTGAGAGCATTTCGTAAATAAAATTTTCAAACGCATATAGACGTCTGTTAATCATAGGTTTTGTACCGTTGTCTTTGGCGATGTCAGTTCATTTGGAGACGTGTTTTCGCGATCCGGCCAGTAAAGGAAAGTCCTTTTTTTAGTAGACTAAGAAAAATCACTAGGGAGCATTACAATCAGTGGGGGAGCGGTACACTGTGAAAATGGGCTGAACTTAAAATTGAGTCTTTCAATATTGACAGTTTTCTTCTTATGTTTATTGGTACTGATACAGAAGCGTTTCATAGCTCTTGAAATGCTGCAACAACCGAAGTTCCCCAGGATGGTATCAATGTACAATTTCTTTAAACAATCCATTTCCGATTCGAACAACCTTGTAAGTCTTTGGATGTGGATTCTTTTTCTATGTTAATGGGCCCATTATTTCCGTCCGCACATGTGTTTAAGTGGAGGAAGGTGATGAATATCTACCCTTAAAGATGAGGACGGTCTCAAACGAGCAACACAGATTAAATCAAAACTTATCAGTCAGTAACGTGTTCATAGAGAATAGATAGGTTCTGGTCGGGAAACACGGGAAAATCTGTTGCGGCAATCAAATATATTAACTTTTCTAAGTCTTCCGGCAAACAATTTTTTGATTTATTGCTCTGGACGGTTTTCTTAACCTCATATACCAAGAAGTGTGACCATACACAGTAGAACAAAAATTACAGCATGTTTCTGAACATTAAAATAGTGTGGTCTGGTTGTAAAAACAGAGTCTAGTTGTGCATCGACTCTGGTAGGAAAACGTGCTTGGTTTGAGAACTCAATTCAAAGAATCATCTTTTCGCGCTATCATGCAGCTAGACAAAAGATCAGGAAATGTATTTGGTTCAGATACTGATATATTGATTAGGTGCCAGGTAAATCTTTTCGAGATTTATAGAATGAAAACCACTCAAAAAATGATGATTGCAATCAATGGCGGAGGTGATCGAGTGGTAAGGTCGTCGAAATAACTAACTGGGGCTCGAGAGTTCAACCCCCCCCCAATGCCACTCCTCTTTCCATCACCTATATTTCTTCAGGCAGCATCTGTATGGTCGCCGCCCCTTTCCTGAACATTTATGGTACATTTCTTTAATCAATAAAAAAGGAATTAAAAAACATTCATAAAAAATGACATGACAAATGACTTCGATCGTAAGGTACTTGTAGATCAAGGCAGATAATTTGCTCCAGTAGTTGTAAACATAACTATAGAAAACGGTATTCGCGAAGAAATTTCTATTCATCAGGCGTTTACATAATAAATTGTTAGAACAGAGAGAAGACAGATACAAGATACAGATACATTTCTTTTAATCTCTTCAGTCGCTACAACGTAAAACAATCTCGTATTTATACAAGCAAGTTTTGGTAACTATAGTAGCAAACCAGACAATACCTAAGGACTTCGTTTAGATAATCGAAGACAGAACCAGTAGAACAATTGTCCTTCACATATCGTCTATTAGTTCACCTGCAGTTGTAGTGACACTTACATCGGCAGAATGAATCGGCCCCTGGCACAGCGGATGTCTGAACACATTCCCAAGTGGTTGGTGCAATCGATGAAGAAACAAAGTCCTGGAGGTCAGACTGATAAGAGAAATCCGGGGTCATAAATCGCAAAACATCTCATAGCAACTGGACATATCGTTGACCCACAAATGTCGTTCAAACCATTATTACGTAACATGAATCCCAGAATTTTGGCGTTTAGCGAAGCGTTGCTAATTAAGTTACGTAACCCAATCTTGTGCGCACAAAAGTTTCTTACACAATCAGTCAGATTGCCATGGAACCGATTTCCCACCCCATCCTCTCCCCCGCTTCTCTGACCATTGTCCGTTTTACCACTGTAGTTATCAAAACTTGCTTCTATAAATACCAGATTGTTTCACGGTGTAGCGACTGAAGAGATTCAAAGAAATGTTAACATCTCACAGTATTTGTCTTCTCTCTGTTTTAACGAATTGGATAAAAAAGACAATGTTTCAAGTTTCTAAAAAGACGACTACCCGAATCTACTATGAGAGGGTTGGACCGTTTGCTAACCGTGCGTTGCAAAACTGCAGTGGAACGGACAGAGGTAGAATTTTATCGGGAATGTATTCGTTCGTGTATATATAAGTTGGTCACAGTACAGATGTCTGAATGGCCGATTAAAGCTCAGTTAGTAACGATGACAGGGGCGAGCAAACAGAGCAGACGAATATGACAAGGCTGCAGTGATAGTCGTGGGGGGTGGGGTGAGAAGACAAAAGTCAAATGGACAACGTTAGAGAGATGGGCAGATTAAAATGAAGGTTGAGCTAAGACTAGAGAGCGGGATGAAGTTACGTAATATACGGTAGAAACTATAGGTTATGCATAGCAAGTGATGTAATCGGGAAAGGACATTAGAGACAAAAGCAAAATAATTNCTTAAGACTGAGGTTGATGATACTGGATGAGGAAAGGGGATTGGAGAGGAGGGGGGGGGTTGATGCTATTTTATGTACAGTCAATCCGCTATCCAGGCCAGGTCTACGACAGTATCTGGACTAGGTTTTTCTGCTTACATAATTCTGGATTGAAAATCCGAATTGCAATAGCCTCGGTCGTGGTTAAACATAACTAACAACACCTTTGTCTTGTTTAGGGACACTCGTGGGACAGTTAGCACAACACCAATTAAAACCACTTTGGGAATTTCTTCGTGGAAACACGATACTTATAGCATAATGATCCCAAGGTTTTGGTACTCCTATTTTTCGTGTGATACCTGCTTTGTCAATTTTTTTAAATAGAGAACTAACATTGCTTTTTTTCTGGCACTGCACCATCTGAGACCGACTTGGCAAACTGCGCAGTGTTTTCTCCATTTGCGAACTCTTTTTTCCTGATGATCCGCTTGAACTTATTTCCCACTTTGTTGGCGTAATTCAGAAAATGTGCGGTTTGCGCAACAACAACACGAGGAGATTTTTTGAACATGCTCGTGTAAGATAGCAAAGACGCCCTTCAGAATGATCAAGACGACTTATGAATAAATTCACAAAAATAGTGAAACGCGATGTCCGAGCGAAGTGGTACGACCCTCCCGATTATCTGCGCACCAATTCACTACATCGACGAACCATCGCTGTCCATCTTTCAATTACTAGCTGTCAGGGCGAGCACTGTT